GCAGGGCCGGGACCTTGGGGAGGAATATCCAACCCCAAAATGCACTTTCCAACCCCAAAATCCCCCTTCCAGCCCCAAAAACCTCTGGGGACGAATATCCAACCCCAAAATGCACTTTCCAACCCCAAAATCCCCCTTCCAGCCCCAAAAACCTCTGGGGAGGAATATCCAACCACAAAATGCACTTTCCAACCCCAAAATCCCCCTTCCAGCCCCAAAAACCTCCCTGTTCCCACCCTAAAATTCTCCTCGTTCCAGCCCCAAAATCCTTCTCGTTCTCACTCCAGAATTCTCCTCCTTCAGCCCCAAAATCCCCGTTCCAGCCCCAAAAACCTCTGGGGAGGAATATCCAACCCCAAAATGCACTTTCCAACCCCAAAATCCCCGTTCCAACCCCCGAAGCTCCTTTCCAGCTCCAAAACGTTGTCCTTAAGATTCCTTCCAGCCTGAACTAGGCTGGGCCAGCAGCTCCCCGTTCCTCACTGCGGCAGAGGAACCAGGGGTTGTTTTTAGGATTTTTAATCCATATCGAAAGTACCTTTAAAATACATTTTTAGAAAATTTTAAGATCACTTTTTAATCTGCTCCAGCTCACTTCCCCCTTGCTCCAAAATTTCACCAGGACCGTCGGCATGTGACCTCAGTCATTGGGATTGGGGAAGTTCTGCTTCCCCATAATTGTCATTGTCCCACTTTCGGGTGTGGCTTTTTGGGGGTTTGGGGGGTCTGGAGCTCCTTTATGGCCCAGTCTGGGTGTTGTGGTTTTTCATAATTTATTGTATTTTTAAATTTTTTTTGCAGCTGGTGCATGGTAGGGAATATGGTATATTTATTTAATATTATGTTCCCTAGCTTAAGTGTTGATAAGGTTGTTTTTGAAATGAGTATTATTGTTTGATTTAATTTTTAGGGGTATTATGGTATTATGGTCCCACGGAGCACCTGAGCTGTTCACACGCAGCCACGGTGACTCTCTTGGTCCACCCTCATCTTTCCGTGGAAATTCTGGCAGTTTTTTCCCCAACAACACCTCAAATATCCATGACTGTGCCTGTCAGAAGTCATTTGCTTGACGTCATTTCCATCCCAACCACACCAAAACCCCTTGCGCCAGGCAGGCAAAGAAAAGCGAGGTTCGCTTCTTCTTCCTGTTCGTGGCGCAAAGTTTTTTGCGTGCCGATGGCCCCAAATCCTCTCCGTTTCTGGATGCCCATGGACGTGTCCTGGATCCCTCTTCTCACCATCCTCATGCACCTCCAGCAAACCGGTGAGTGCCAGGTGCTCCTGGAAGGAGATCTTGGGGTGCTTTGAGGGTTTTTGGGGTCAGGGGAGAGTGGAGAAAGATGGGACCACCCGAGCAGCACCACGGGGTGGATCCGTGCCCAGAGTTGGGATCCACGGATCTCCCGCTGCCATGGAAACCTGCTGGGAGAGGGCTGGTGTCCATCTCTGGTCCAGCCTCTGGCCAGCTGTCCCGGGGAGCTCCTGGCAGAGGTTATCCCGTGGATTTGCCATCCCTGCAGTGACCGAGGCTGGGATGGACCCACCTGGGACGCCGGAAGCTTCCAGGAGGTGGAATGGGATAATTTTAGGTTCCCTCCCAACCCAAACCTTTCCAGAATTCCCCGATTCTCCTCCAAGGAACAGCTGCACGTCTGGCCAGGAGCTCCCTGTCCTGCTCGGGTCACTGAGCTTGGACTTTGGTGCTCGGAGCAAACCTTTCTGACCTTTCCAAGCCATCTCCAACTTTCTCCCTTTCGCTTTCACCTCCAGGCTCCCTCCTCGTGCTCCTCCGCACGTGCCAGGCGCTCCTGGTCCCTTGGCAAGGAGCTCGTGGTGGGTTTGGGGTGGTTTAGGGACCCGCGGGAGGGTGGGGACGTGTGGGATCGGCTCCGCAGGGGTGGAGAATTGGGCAACCTCTCAGAGATGGGACAGCCAGGGGGAAAGATGCCCAGGCCACTCTCCTGGCCATGGGACCCCTCTGAAAAGGAGCCATCAGGCCCACATCTGGTCCAGATGTTCTCCAGACATCTGCTCTGCCTTCAGCTCCTGCTCCTCTGCGTGTTGCCTGACGATTTTTTGCAGGTCTCATCTTGGGGTGTTTTTTGGCTGAAAAGAGGGAAATTGGGCAAGGTTGGGGCCCAGCCCTTCCTCTGGGGGTGTTTATCGTATGAACCATCCCGTGGCTTCGTTATTCAGCAGATTTCCCACGGGTTTATCTTCCCCAGCAGCGTTTTCCTGCCACACGCTCTGCTGTCCGTGTCCCAGAGGACCCTGAGGATGAGTGAGACAGAAATTCCGAGCCCGACCTCGGGGCCGAGCCGGGGCCAGTTCCCTGTTAGAAAAACCGGGAAGAAAAACTCCATTCCCAGTATAAATCAGGTGGCGCGGTTGATTGGAAATGGGAAGTCACGAAAGCGATTAAAACAACTCCTTCCTCCTTGAACCACTGACCAAGGCCATGGAGGGAAGGGATGGGACCTTGGACCTTGTCCGGGGCTGCATCCAAAGGAGTGTGGGAGGGTTCTCATCTCTGGAATGGTGAGATCCCACCTGGAATGGTGAGAGTCCACCTGGAATGGTGAGAGTCCACCTGGAATGGTGAGATCCCACCTGGAATGGTGAGAGTCCATCTGGAATGGTGAGAGTCCACCTGGAATGGTGGGAATCCACCTGGAATCACCAGAATCCACCTGGAATGGTGAGAGTCCACGTGGAATGGTGAGATCCCACCTGGAATGGTGAGAATCCACCTGGAATGGTGAGAGTCCACCTGGAATGGTGAGAGTCCACCTGGAATCACCAGAATCCACCTGGAATGGTGAGAGTCCACGTGGAATGGTGAGATCCCACCTGGAATGGTGAGATCCCACCTGGAATGGTGAGAGTCCACCTGGAATGGTGAGAATCCACCTGGAATGGTGAGAGTCCACCTGGAATGGTGAGATCCCACCTGGAATGGTGAGAGTCCACCTGGAATGGTGAGAGTCCACCTGGAATGGTGAGAGTCCACCTGGAATGGTGAGAATCCACCTGGAATGGTGAGAGTCCACCTGGAATGGTGAGAGTCCACCTGGAATGGTGAGATCCCACCTAGTCTCATGAGATCCCACCTGGAATCGCCAGAATCCACCTGGAATGGTGAGGTCCCACCTAGTCTTGTGAGATCCCACCTGGAATCGCCAGATCCCATCTGGAATCGCCAGATGCCACCAGGCCTGGTGCCCCCAGCATGGGGAGGTCATGGAGCTGCTGGGACAAGTCCACAGTCTCAAAGGGGCCCTTCCCTGCAGCCACCGGGAATCTTCAGCCAGGAGATGTGGTGGAGCTGCCCCATGCACCCCTGGCAGTGTCCAAGGCCAGGCTGGACAGGGCTGGGAGCACCCCAGGCTGGTGGAAGGTGTTGGGATTTTAGGGGAGCGGAATGAGAGGGGTTTGGGGTCCTTCCCAACCCAAACCTTTCCAGAATTCCCTGATTCTCCTCCAAGGAGCAGCTGCACATCTGGCCAGGAGCTCTCTGTCCTCTCGGTGACCCTTCCTGACCTCCCCATCTGCAACTCCTCGTTCTTCTTCCCCTTTCCGTTCCTGTCTGGACTGTGTCCTCCGCACGAGGCTGCGGGGGCTGAGCCTGGGGGTGGCCTCGTGCTCTTCCTTCACCCAGGGACCCTTCCAGGAGCTCCCTGTGAGCCTTCACACAGCCCCAGCCCTGATGGGCTTCATTCTCCAGGTGCAGCAGCTTCATCCCACCTTCATCCCACCTTTTCATCCCACCTTCATCCCACCTTCATCCCATCTTCATCCCACCTTCATCCCACCTTTTCATCCCACCTTTTCATCCCACCTTCATCCCATCTTCATCCCATCTTCATCCCACCTTCATCCCACCTT